AGAATGAATGTTGGTTTAGAATCACATTCATTATAAGCTATCGGTGTACCATTAGATTATTTGGCCTGGGAAAGCTGACTTGGTCATTTTTATGCAAGCATTCACCTGGAAATCTAAGGATGCTGTAATTTTTAAACCAGAGAGACAGAAATGTGCAGTAGTTACTAGTGGAAGATCCTCCTTAAATGCCTTTCATTCCAGGGGCCTCCCTGGTGGCTTAGGGGTTAAATCTCTGTGCTATCATTGCTAAGGCCTGAGTTCAATCCCCAGCCAGGGAGCAACCCACATGGTGTAACAGACCTCTCCTGTCTCACCCGCTGCTTCCCTCAGCAGTGTGTTTCAGTGGATCTGCTTGTTCTGCCCCCCACTCTGTCTGTGGTGAATCCACTCACTTCCCCACCCTGCCCCGGCACCTTTCATTCCAGACTTATCCCTGCCATCCACTAGCTCTATGGCCACAGGTGCGCTCACTCTCCACTCCTAGCCTCAGTTTTGGTGATTATTTCATACATGTTTTTCTTAATAAAGCAAGACCATTTGCTTAGTATTTTCCTAGGGCCTACGAACAGAACTAGAAAATGTGAACCCAGCAGTTCCTTCAGTTTAAGTGAAACAACAGTGAAATGTTTAAAAGGTTGGGTTTAAATATTGTTACAAAAAAAAAATATATATATATATATATAAAACACGGACGATTGTTGTTGATTGACACCGTGCAATAAAACTCAATGAAATTCAGTTACCCCTTGATTGAGTCAGGCCAGCCAAGAAGGAAATTATACAGTTGAAATCAACAAATTGGATTTGTTCCCTTTGTAGGCTCAGCAGTTGCTCCCTGACTAGTTCCTCACAGGATCAGATGTGGCCGTCAGCTTCCAGACTCTGACCACTGACACATACTCTCTATCCATACAGTTTTTTCCAGCGTTTACTGAACAGATGCTAAACACATGCTGACTATGAAGTCTCTCCCTCAAAAATAACACATGTATTTATGCATATGTATGTAACTATTGCTTTGAAGAATATTTTTGCTTTTTGCTTCATACATATAAATATATATGTATGTGTATATATATGTATATATATAGTTCATCCATATATATAAATATATATATAAATCATGTAGCATCCAAAGTGTTCAGTGATATGTCATTATGCTCAGACTATTTGGAGAAGATCAGTTCTTCTTTAATAATGATCTCTACTCCCTTCCAAGGAGGGACTAACTTAGAGTTTCTCTTCCATTTGCCCTCTTTCTCCTTATTTCACCCCCATGTGAGTGATAAAGCAAATACCAAACTATAGATCATTGGTATTAATAAGCATAGCAGATTTGGTTAGTGATTTTTTTTCTTGTCTTTACAAATAAACACAATTAACACATTGGCAATGGAGAAAATGACTGTTGACGACATAGAAATAAGCCAATTATTTAATCCCGCCCCCCTCCTATTGGCCCCTGACTGCAGACACATTCTGTGTATGTTAACTGAGGAGCTGGTGTGTGGGAAGCAGAATTGATCCTGAGGTGTGTCCTGGTACCTGAGTGTGTAAGTTGTTAAATAGTTGCAGCAGGGGCCATGAAGCTTCCTGTTATTTTTGCTTTACTTGTTGCAATTTATATGAAAATCTTTCCAATGTTTGTCTATAAGCTGGCCTGTAAGACCTGCAGTGGGGGTCTGACCACTTCTCCATCACATCCTGACTCTTCACCTGTCCTACCATATGCCAGTTTCCACAGCCATGTTTTGTTTCCCCCATGTACTGTGCATCCTGCCCATGCAGGGTCTTGGTATCTCCTCTCTCCTATCTTTTAACAGGTTTGTTTCACATACCATGCAATGCATTCATTTAAAATATACAATTTCAGGGGCCTCCTTGGTGGTGTAGGCAGTTGAGCACAGCGCTGTGAAGCTGTCCGCAGCCTCTGCAGTGCCAGTTTGATCCCCACTGGCCACAGAGATACCCACATGGCGTGGCAGACCTCTCCTGTCTTGCCCGCTGCTCCCCTCAGCAGTGTATTTCAGTTGGTCTGCCTGTTCTATTCTCTGCTCTGTCTCTGGTGAATCCTCTCACCCTCCCCCACATCTGGCCTGTACCCCAGTTCTTGTATAAAAATAAATAAATCTTTAAAAAAATAAATAAAATAAAATATACAATTTCATGGCTTTTAAGTATATGCAGAGTTGTGCACCATCAGCAAAATTCATTCTAGAAAATTGTCTTTAACCCAAAAAGAAACCTGTACCCCTTACCATCATCCACAATTCTCCCATACCCACCCAGCCCTAGGCAAATACTAATCTACTGTTTGTCTCCATTGATTTGCAAATACAGGACATTTCATCAGAGTGGAGTGACATGATGTGTAAGTCCTTTGTGACTGATTTCTTTCACTTACATGTTTTCAAAGTTCATCCATGTTGTTGCAAGTATTGGTGCCTTCTTGTTGACAAATAATATTCCATCAGAAGGCTCTACCACCTTTGATTTATCATTCATCAGTTGATAGACATCCCTGTTGTTTCCACTGTTGGCTGTTATGAATAACACTGCTATAAACATTCTTGCTCAGGTTTGGGAGAAGAAACATGTCATCATCTCTCTTCAGTATGTATTTAGGGGTGGACTTCCTGGAGCACGATGGATCTATGATTAGCTATTCAAAGAACTGACAAGACTGTTTTCCAGAGTGGTTATATCATTTTACATTCCCAACTAGCAATGTACAAAATTTCCAGTGTTTCTAATTGGAGCTTGTAATGGCAATCTCAACTTGTTACCACAATGTAACCTCACCAAGACTGGTTATTATACCCCTCCTAGTGGGTATTAAGTCATGTTTCATTGTGTTTTCTTCCTTTACTTCTAGATAATCTCTAATAATTTTTCAAGCTGTAGCTTTAAAATCACTCATACAGGGAACCTTACCTTGATCATGTTACCCTCAGATTAGCTCAGGACTCTTCTCAGAAAACCCTCTAAACTTGATATATAACATGGGCAAGCCCATCCCTTTTCTCCTCTGTTCCCCATTCTGTCCCCAGCATGTAGCCTTTGTGTGAATTCTGGTGTTGCTTGTCTATAATTTTCTCAATGAATCACACATTACAAAATAATGCATAAAAATGTACATTATCTGAAAATCATCTGTATCCAAATAATGGGCATGAATACTTTTACAATCTGTTTTATTGTCAGCATCCCCACAAACCAAACTATTGAGAAATATTTTAATATCTCTTCAAGAGAATATGATGAACAAATGTTTCTATTTTCCTGAATTTTACTATAGTTGTACACTTTACTGTTTGATAAGAAACAGAAGGAATTTCGGTATACGCAGAAAAAAAAATCAAGTGGACTATGTCAACAGTTCTCTCTTAAATCACGTGGTAAAGGAAAAAAACAGAATATGTTTCTGAAAAATAAGGAACTTAGGGGAACTGGACTTTCCTGCTCTGACTCTCAAGTAGGTTACTGCCCTAGATATTTTGAATCTGTAGGTCTGGGACAAGGTCTTGGAATGTATGTTACTAACAAGACTCCTAGTGATTCTGGTGCTAGTGGTCCATGAACTTCATTTCACAAACATTCATCCTCGTTAATATTCTAGTTATTTAACAGGAACAGGCTAATTTAGTAGAAGTTCTAAAATAAAGATCTAGAGTCAGACACAAACTTAAATTCCTGGCCTAGCATTTATTAGTAGCTAGGGGACTTAAGACAAATTACTTAACCTTTCTAAATCTGTTTCCTCATCTGTAAATGGGGGTGGGAATTAACAGGCCTACATTATAAGGTTGTCACAGGGATTACACAATATGTATAAAACAATATCTTACACACAAGAAATGCTCCAAAATTTTAGTTGCTATTGCTATTATTTTATCATTATTGTAATTACCAAAGTTGTAAGACAATGTACATGACAAATTTGTTTCAAAGAAATGAAGTTTTACTTAGTAAGAAAAGTGCTTCCTAAGCATACAGTTGTATTTTATTGATATCACTAACTTTCATTCATGTTTATTTCAGAATGCCTCCCCTGGTACTTAAGGCATAATTTAGTCTTTCCTGAAGAAGTAGGATTTTGGCTTCTTTATTAAAATATGGTTTCCACCAAGTTCACAACATGATATGCAGTACTGGCTGAAACACAATCTTCTGTAGATGTCATTAACTGAGCAGAAAGTATATCCCCCACTTCTTTTCTCTATTAAGTAATAGCTGGATCTGTCATTATAGGACTTACTCTCTAAAACAAAAGTTCTGGCAGCTCAAGCAAATTAGTATCAATCAGTCATCTTATAGAATCGAGTATGTTCCTTCAGATGTCCAAGTCCTAGTTACCGAATACCCAACAAGTATTTGACACTTGGGATGTACAGAGAAGAAAATGAAGATTTCCACAGTCACTGATGAAGCAAAAGAGACTGGGAAAAAAAAAAAAAAACAAACAAAAACAAGTCATTGAATACTTAACCAAGAGAGTGTGGCTGGGGATGAATTCTATGAATAACATCAAGCAGAGTGATGAAATAGGAATGCTTAAGGGAAACAAAATATTTTAGATCAATGATCAGGAAAAGGTTCTCACAGGAGATGACATTTAAGCTGACACCTGAATGCTGAGCAGCCTGTCATGGGAAATGTCAGGGGGCAGAGTGATTTAGGAAAAGGAAACAGCCGAAAGCCCTGCAGACTTTAAACAGGAGACCATCGTAGTCTAAATTACCATCATTCCAGGATTCTTTCCCCTTCCCTGCTCCTCTGTCTGGAGAATAGTGGTTGTGAAACTCAATGGAGTGATGTTTAACTTAATCTGTACTTCCCCATATCAGCTATCATCTCTGTAATTTTGTCAATGAACTTCTCACATAGGCATACCATAAAGCTTCTGAATCACCTCACTGCTTTAATACATGTAGACACATGACATCTAGTTTTGTCTCCATAAAATTTTAAAGAGTGTCTCCTTAAATCTGGCGTTTTAGGTTGCACCAGGTGACGTTTGAGGTGCCTACCTGTGAGGGAAAGGAGCGACAGAAGCTGGCCCTGATCGGTGACTCCTCTTCATCAGCAGAGTTCTTCGTCACTGTTGCTGTCTTCGCCTTCCTCTACTCCTTGGCAGCCACTGTCGTTTATATTTTTTTCCAGAACAAGTATCGGGAAAACAACCGGGGTCCACTAATTGTAAGTTGCTTGCTTTTTGAAATAACTTTCTCTGTATCTTCTAACTCCCTTTTACAATTCTTGAAGGGCTTTGGAGTTACCCATGCCCTCAGGGCAGATGCTTTAAAAGAGATCATATTCTTTTTCATCTAGATCTCTTGGATCTCAAAACAAAAAAATGGTGTCTGTCATTCTTCTGTGCCCTGTGTTAGAGAAATATCACAAAACATGCTAGAAACTCCTCTGAATAAATGGTTGGAAATCTCATGAGATCAAGGAAAGATTTATTTATAACTCCAGTATTACGGAGTCATGAAATTAGTCAACCATTTTTCTCACTGGTTATTGAGACAATGTGACTTGTGCTTATTTGAAGCACATTATTCCCTTAGCTTAAATCAGACTGTTGAATCTGATAAATTTGTTGAGTCTGAAGATGAAGTTTATCTCTGAAAATTTCTCTTTCTCTACCGTTCTCTCTCTGCCCACTTCCCCAGCAATCCCCCATTTTCTTTTTCATTGTATAATGGTTGCATAATGGGTTAAAGCAACATAATCCAGCAGAGCTAGAGAGAGACAAACATACACTAGGAGAACACAAAAATTTTCAAAGGGGTACATGAACATGAATAATTTGAGGAAAATAAATTTCTCAACCTTCACATGTATATTTGTCTAAAATTTATCTTCTGATAATACCCTGCATCTAACCATATATTGTTCTTTCTCAGTCACATACTCCCGTTTTGCAAAAGAAAATCATCCTTCTTTTCCAACCCAAATATTACTACATCGTACATTGCTAGGATGCAGAACATTTGAGGTGTTAAAAAAAGGATTATTTGAACAATGTGCTGGTGTTGGTGTTGACAAAAAGTAGATTATTCTAAAGCCTGGGTAATGTGCTCTTTTGCATCTAAACAGCTTTCCAAGTTTTATCTTTCAATAAAATTGAAGGCCCTAATGTACTTGTCAACTGATAGGTCATTAAAGAATTATTTTTGATGACAGATCACTGTGTGATCTGAGCCATATAACTCAGAAGGAATTCAAGAAATTAATGACATGACCATCGATTCTTATCTGCTCTTTTTATGCAAGCAATCTCCTCAACATATCTATAAAACACAAATTGGGAAGAGAATTAGTAATGAAACATGTCCCATACTAGAAGTAAATATTTATCCCCAGAAATATATATATGTATATATACAAACAAGTTGAAGGAAAACAGCCCCATGCATTTCTAATAAAAAGTCTGTTTTAAATTGAATAATTATTTACTAAAATTTATAATGTATTTATGTTTTTTGCGACAATTGTGCATCAGTATTTGCAGTGGTCACTTAACCCAAAATGAATTTTTGATATTTAAAGCATTAACACCATGGATAATTAAAAATAATTCAAATTTATATGCATTTTTCTGCAGAGATGTAATAGGGTAATAGGTAAAATTCTTTCCAGTATAAAAAAATATATTAGTCTATATTTCTGTAAGGAAAGAGTAATGGAAATACAAGTTTGAAGAGAAGGAAAGGAACAAGTAAAGTTTCCCACAGTTAAAGAGGAACTTGTTCACTAATTTTTCAATGGATAATTGAAAGTATCAAATAACTATTCAGTTGCATGCATTTAAATAATTAACACAATAGGTGTATTTTCAAATATTAATACTTACAATATGCCAGAAATCGTATTCTTTGCAACTATTTGAACTTATAATAAAAACAATTTTTATATTATTATTGACATACCATTATTTTACATCCTTGTTTGTTTTTTCACAAAACACGATTTCTCCCCTCAGGTGTGGTCGACGTTCTCTGCCACCCACAGTCCATTGTGCGCTCCTCCCCCAGCCTCCTTTCCTGCCCTCCACCAACCCTTCTCCCTCCTCCCCTCCTAGATCAATGCTCTCAAGAGTCAGTTTTAAAGTTTGTAAAAACAAAATCAGATGTCAACCTCATAGTAGATGCACAGTTTTTCAAAATTCTTTTAGGATCTATGTGAATAAAATAAAGAGAGAAATTCCTTTTTGGAGAACGAGGTAGTTAAGTTTGAAGAGACTGGAAAGAAACTCAGATTTGTAGCACTTTAATATGTTTTCTGAGGGAAAGAAGAGCAGGTGTCATTTTTTCCTTCAAACCTTTGAGCACATGTTTTTTGTTGTTTTTTTTTTTTCCCTTCAAATTGGATTTTATTGTCTTATGGCTTTAAAATATCTTTAGCGGGCCTCCCTGGTGGCACAGGGGATTAAGCACGGCACTATGAAGCTATCTGCAGCTTCTGCAGCGTGAGTTCGATCCCAGCCCTCCAGGGAGCAACCCACATGGCGCGGTAGACTTCTCATGTCTCACCTGCTGCTCCCCTCAGCAGTGTATTTCAGTCAGTCTGTCTGTTCTGCTCCCCCCTCTGTCTCTGGTGAATTCTCTTACCCCCTGCACCTCTGCCCTGTACCCTCATTCTTGTATGCATAAATAAATCTTTAAAAAAAAATAAAATAAAATCTCTTTAGCAGAGTCCCCTAACTTGGGCCTGGTGATTGCAGACAATACAACCAGGACATTGCTATGTATGTGTAAACCCACAGGCATATATATGGACACTCACAGAATTGTAAAGTCCCAGGAAATGTCCTGACTTCCAGAGAGAAGTTGACCCAGCTAGATCCCCTAAAGTAAAAAAAGATCTATTTTGCTATAGAAAACTACATTTTCCTCATAAGAGATAATCTTGAGGGCATGCTACTCATCTCTGTGTAAATAGTCTTTCCCATCAAGCAGGATATAATGAAATCCCGAGTTGTGTACTACATTGGGTAGGTTTTGTTTTATTACATCGTGAAGGAAGGGGCGGGGAGGAGGAAATAATTCTAGTAATAAAAAAGGAAAGGTTCCTAGATGAAACTTCTGTGATATTAAAAAGCTGATGTGCTTATTACTTAGCAGATAAAAGTTAATTTAAAAATGAGCATGAGTCCTAAGAGTCACAGAGGCAGAATGAATGTGCAGGATCAGCACGATGCCCTTGCAGCTATGAATGGCAAAGCTAATCAGTTCAAATGGCTCCGTGCCAAGGCCAAAGTGAGCAGGAGGGTGGGCTCTGTACCCCACCCTTAATTGTGAAGAGCAGGTTTAAGCAAATCCACCACGTGAACAAGATTTCAAGAAGATGGTTCGTGCTTAAGAAAAATTTAACATACTGGAAATGTATTTTTCCTATGTTCAGAATAATACTACTAGTTTTAAAGCAATCCTATTTATTGTGAAAGATGCCTACTGGTTGTGACTTAGGCAACTCAGTTCTTGTTACCATCTGTTCTTTGTCCTTCTTTTGGTTATTCTGTAATTTGGGCTCTCCAAGTCAATAAATGTCTAATCTAAGACAACAAAGGTACCATGTTATGGTGACATGAAGTCTTTCCAGCAGTTTATGGAAGTTAGGTGCCTGTCTAAACTAGTGCACACCCCAAAGTTGAAAATTTCCCATCTTGCTCTATGGTGTTCTAGGCCCTGACATTACACATCACTCATAAATAAGATCAGTGTGCAGGAAGGTGACCAGGATAGCATCAGTGTTGATAATAATGACAATGATCTAGGCTGGTATTAATTGGGTTCTTACTGTGCAGAGCTGATTTAGTACAACAGCCCTTGCTTATATTGTCATTCACTTCTAGAGATGAGGAAAAGGAAGCTCAGAGAAGCTTCTAAACTCTCCCAGGTCACATCACTACTAATCAGAGCACAGAGAGTTTGACTCCAGGTTTTTCCAAATGCAGGCCCAAGCTTTGTACACCAGCAAGAGAGCCTGAGGTCCTGACAGGCAGCATGCTGCAAAGGCAGAGGGGTGGAGGTGGATACCACATTAATCATACTCCCGAACAGCTACTACCTCATTTCTTCTGAAAACACAGAAATGAAGCCCTAGAGCCCCCAGACTTTTCAGCTCATTTGATGATCATAAAGGGTTTTTATTTGCCTTCAAAATAAGTCTGGAGTTAAGGAAGATCTGCCATGGGTCTATGATACTAGAGCAACTAAACATCTCCCTGTGCTGCCATTGATCCCTGTTGCACATGGAAGGTGACAATGAGAAAAAGAAGCTTAAAAAATGTCCAGGATCAATGCATATCGTAAATCAGAGATTACCAGAACTGATTTCTATACATGAGCAAGCTATTGTGAGCAATTTCAGACAGATTGGAGCCACGCTCATCCGTGGCTACTTTAAAAAAATATCCTTTTCTACAAAGCATGCTAAATAAGATTACACACATTTGAGTGAAATGAGAATCTGAATGTCTTTAGAAGTAACATAATTGTTAATGTGCTGAATGGCGCAGTCGTGAGAAAATCAGGCCAAAGGAATCATCCTTTACTGTACATCACTACTGTAAGTGCCTTCTCTACAGATGAATACATATCAGTTCTCAGAAAGCAGAAATGGCCACCTGCATGGTACATGATTGTGAAATTGAAATGTCACATCTGGTTATATCATTTTGTCATGTTCCTTAGAGCAGAGTTTTAAAGCCAATCTCCGGCTGATTTCTGTGGCAAGAAGTTCTGAGCCATTTTCAGATCTCATGTCAAATAGTGACATTGGGAGGCTTTAGTTTTTTTCATATTCATGTAAAGTAGGTTTTAAAAAATGACTTATCTTACTGGGCTGACAGAGTGCTTTAAGAATATTACAAACACCATTCCACATCTTGGTAAATTCTTGTTGTAAGAAGTTAGGTTTAAAGCAACAGTTCTCGGGGTTAAGGAGATTACCATCTTGAAGTAAGATTTTTATGGGAGGACCTCCCTGGTGGCCTAGGGGTTAAGCCTCAGCACTGTCACCTCAATGGCCTGAGTTTAACCCTGGCCAGGGAGCTAACCCAAAAGGAAAAAAAGAAAGAGAGATTTTTGTGGGAAAGAAAGAGGATTGTGTGGCTCAAGGATGATAAAGGAAACCATGTTGGCCAAAGGTGGTTTCCAGACTGGATGTGTTTATGTCTGATGCGGGCACAC